GGGGATTGGGGTGGGGTTTTTTTTCCCCCACTTTTATTTATTTTATTATTATTATTACTAATATCGCTGTTGTTGTTGTTGTTTCTCCTCCGCCCCAGACTCGGAGGGCTGCGGGCCGGAGCAGCCCAGCCCCTCTGCTCCCTCCCCAGCGCCGGCGCGGCGGAGCCCGGGCGCGCTCGGGGGGGATCGCGGCTCATCCCCGGGGTGGGGGGGGAACAGGGCAGCGGAGCCGCTGCCCCCGCCTCCCCCTGACGCCTCTCTGCTCTCTCTGCCCCGCAGTACGACGAGCTGCCCCACTACGGCGGCATGGAGGGGGTGGGCATCCCCACCACCATGTACGGGGACCCCCACGGCGCCCGCCCCATGCAGCCCGTGCACCACCTGAACCACGGGCCGCCGCTGCACTCGCACCAGTACCCGCACGCCGCCCACGCCAACGCCATGCCCCCCGCCATGGGCGCCTCCGTCAACGACGCCCTCAAGAGAGATAAAGATGCCATCTACGGGTGGGTGCCGCGCAGGGCTCCGCGCAAGCTGCGCGGGATGGAGCGGGGGGCAGCGCGGGGAGGGCAAGGGCGGGATGCGGAGCGCTGCGCGGAAAAGGGCCGCGCTCTTAATTTTGTGTCGGTGCTGTTTTGGGAGGCGGGGGGGACGGGGTTGGGGTCCCCCCCCGGCACGGGGAGCAGCGTGGGCTCGGGGAAAAAGGAGCTTGCTGGAGGGGCGGCAGATCACCGCGGGAGGAGGAGGAGGAGCAGGCGGAAAATAATATTCCCAGGGCACAACCTGCGCCCGGTGGTAAATCTGTGCACGGAGTTTTGGAGCAGGGAGAGTTTGGAGAGCTTTGCCCAACTTTCCACCTTATTCGTCTTTCCTTGCGCTGAGAGAACTCAAGATCTGCTTCTCTCAAGACTTTTTATTTTTAAATTTTCTTTTAATTTTCTTTTTTTTTCCCCCAAATCTTTTATCCGACAGCTTTGAATGTTTCTCAATGTGGCAACTTGTAAAGCAGTTTCTAGGCCATTGAGATGGGAGCTGACGGGGTTATTACACTGGGCGCAGATGCTTTTAAAATGTATCTGCTCAGCTGGAGTTTGAAGGGAAGTTTAAGGAGCCTTTAAAAATCACTCTCAGGACAGTGAGGAGAAGGGGGAGGAAAATAAAATTCGTAGAGTTCGGTTTTTCTATCGGTTTATCAGAAATCTGAAGGGTTGGTTAAAAGTCGGTGGTGTACGGTACCCAGAGGGGAAAAAAATAGGTATGAAGCCCTGGGAGAAAAAAAAAAAAAAACAAACTCCCTGTTATAAATATACGTATATATACGTGTGTGTGCGCCCACGCTTATTTATTTATTTAAATTATTAAACGGGCGAGGGAACCAGATGCACACGCTGCCTTTCTCTCGGGGAGGCTTTCCAGGCTGGGATTGCCCAGGAGCACCTGGCTTCCCCCGCGGGTCGGCGGCTGCGGAGCCCCGGGGGGCGGAGGGCCGGGCAGGCCGGAGGGAGCCAGCCCGGCTTGGCCAGTGGGTCGGAGCTCTGCTGGGTGCGTTTAAGGGCTTTTTCTCCTATCTTTCTTTTTTTTTTTTTTTTTTTTTTATTTGGATGGGGATTCTTTCTTTTTATGCTTTTCTGTTGGTTAGGGTTTGTTTTTTTCCCCCTTTCGCTCCCCGCAAGTCCTCCAGCAGAAAGCGGGAATTAAAAGCATGAGAGGCAGAAGTGTATGCCCAGGGATTTTAATTTTTTCCTATTTTTTTTTTCTTCCTAAAGACAAGGAAAGTTAATTCAAAATGGCTGCTGGAACCGGCTTGGGTTTTATTCTTGGCTTGTCCTAAGGTTGTATTAACAATATCTGCGGCCAGGCAGTGCCGAAAGGCCGGGGAGATGCCGGGCTGCCGGCCGGCTGGCTGTGGGAAGGGGCCGGGACGCTGCGGGAGGCGGCGGGGGGTGCCGGAGCCCCATCTGTGGGTACCCCCTTCCCCATGCACGCTGCTGTGGGACTAACTATTGTTGTGTTTGGGGTTTTTTTTTCTTTTTTTTTGTTTCGTTATGATATTTTCCCCCCCTCTGTGTGTGTGACTATTGTATTTTCTTTCAGACACCCCCTGTTCCCTCTTTTAGCACTGATTTTTGAGAAATGTGAATTAGCTACATGCACACCCAGGGAGCCCGGGGTAGCGGGAGGCGATGTTTGCTCCTCTGAGTCTTTCAATGAAGACATAGCAGTGTTCGCCAAACAGGTCAGCAAAAACCGGGTTGAAAACAGTAAAAGAAAAAAAAAAAGAGGGAAAAAAAATCGTATCGAGAAAAACAAGTCTCTGTTGAGATAAAGATGCGCGATTCCCCCTCCCCCCTCTCTTACTGAAAGAGGCATAAAAACCAAAACAGAAAAATCCCCAAAACCCCAACCAAAACAAAACACGAGGAAAAAAAAAAAAAAAAATCAGGAAATCTCGGCATTTACTACCCCCCTTGAAAAATGGATAAAGTGGAGCGGTCTGTGCCCGGCCGGGAGTTTCGCTGTGCGGCTCCCGGGAGCCGGGACGGGCTCTGCCGGGGAAGCTCCATAGGTATTTTTCAGTGTATTTGATTCACTTGCTCAAGTGTTTGGCTGATGTACTAAATCCAGCAGTCAGGGCTTTGCACGGAAGGTTACATAATGGACCCGACAGTGTAATGAAGCAAGAAATAATAACGTCTGCTTTTTCGGCTTCCATATTTCAAATCATTTTTATTATTATTTTTTTCCCCCTTTCTTACATTTAGATCCGAGCAGAGAAACCCCTCTTTTCCTCTAATCCCGAACTGGATAACTTGGTAAGAGTTAACACTTCTTCCTCTCCCCACCCCCACCCTCCCTTCCCTTCCCATTTATTTATTATTTTTTTTTAAACTTCTGTGTCATCTGGAGAGGTGGTTTGGTGGTGCTAAATTGAAAATTTCTCACGTGGATTTTTAAAAATTATAATTGTTACAATGATTCCTTTTATATTTACAAGTAAACATGGTGTGGTAATTGCTTGGAAGTAAAAAATCCCATAAGGATATACATAAAGGAAAACCCCATCCAAAGAGGAGCTGGTGGGCTTGATGGTGAGCTTGCCTGCCCAAGAGGAGTGTGGATTTATCTCCACTCTAACCAGCCCCTCCACGCACCTTTTAAGCAGCTCGATGGGAAACAGAGAGGATTACAATCGCTGGAGATGCACCAGTGGCAAATTCACTGAAAATGAGGTCGTTTCTCTCTTTCTTTCCTTCCCCCGTTAAGGATAAATATTTTGCCTCCACTGTAGGAGTCCTGCACCCGCTTTCACAAAGCGAGGAGCCAATGGTGGTGTTTAGAGGGTTGTTTCTTTTTTTTTTAAGAAATGTTTATGATCCGTATAATTCAGTTGCTTCGTTGCAATTGGGATTTTTTTTTTTGTTAACTCTAGGTCGCTTCTCGTTAAACAGCGCACAAAGCCACCGCTATTAAATTTTAGTGTTATTGCTATAAATCAAAACAACTTTTTATTTACTACTAGAGAAAAGTCAAGCTACAAAGTGCGGCCGAGGTGGCTGTGGGAAATATCCCCAAATCCAGGAATGAGATTAATGCTTATGTTGTTTGTGTCTTTGCAGATGATTCAAGCCATACAAGTATTAAGGTTTCATCTGTTGGAATTAGAGAAGGTAATTTTTGTCTCTCTCTCTCCCCTCTACCTTCCCCCCCCCCTCCCCTTTCTTCCTCCTCCGTTTCAGTACTGCTGAAGTTCAGGCTTCTGGTAAATTTGCATAAATGTCTTTCTTTCTGGTAATTAGTGTCAAGACCAATCTTGGCGTCCATTTCTCTTCGCAGTTTAATTACAATTTCAGCCTCTAAAACCGAGCTCTCGAACGCCCAGGCCTTGTGTTCATTGTAATACTTTGCTGGCTTTGTATAAATAGTTGCAGTTCTGTGGTGCCGCAGATGAGACTCGAAATGGTTAGTTCAGTCAAGCCCCTGAAATTGTGATTAAAAAAAAATAGATACTGTTTTTTCTTGGTGATGGTGAAGAAGAGACTTTAGTTGCAGTTAGTTTTAAGGGGGAATTTTTTTTTTTTTTTTTTTTTAAGAGCCATCTGCAGGTCAGGCTCAGGGCGCAGATTGTCCTGTAACATTTTGCAGAGACAAAGCAGAGTTGATAGTTCTGTCTGTCTCTTGTTCCTGGGAATATTGTACACCTCCGAGCAGAAGAAAGAGATTGCAGCCTGAACGCAGGATTTTTTTGTTGGCTGTTTTAGAAATCTTAGGAGGGAGAATGCTAATTTCTAAGCAGGAGGTGTCATCTGAGCTCATGTTAAATTGGAAGTGCGCTCTGGGTTTCCTGAGGATTTTTTACGTGTCATTGATAGCTGGCCTAGAAGAGAATTCCCTTTCTCCTAAAAATAAACATTTTGAGAGGTTTTTAAATAGTTGAAAAGTTTCTCGTGAGCCTCAGTCACTTTATCTAACCATAAGTGTCAGGTTGTTCTCGCTCTACCAAAATGTGTTAAAATCTGCCCATTAATAAAGGCGGCTCAGGTACAAGTCTATCAGATCAACTGGGGATTTCAGGGCATGGATGCCTATAATGTATTTCAGCCCAGTGCATGTGGATTTTTTTTTTAATCCTTTTTTCTGTCCTCATACCCCTTTGGAAAGGGTTTATGATGAAATAACTGGATGAAATTAAATAGTTTACCTTAAATGTCACCCATGCAGGTCACCTCTCTAATGGCCACAGCTCCGGGAGCAGATGAATTTAACACGGGTGTTGAATATGTTGTAGCCTGTGAATCATCTTGTCACTGTCAATTTTCTGGGATATCTCTATTTTGCGAGAAAAGAAAGTTATTCCTAATTCTGGATGCGTCTAGAGGTCTCAGGGGGATAATTGCAGTGTGTTTCCCCTATTTAGGACTTTTGATGTCACAGGGGCGAAGGGGGGAGACTGGTTGCACTTGTCAATTTTACTTATGTATTCCTGATTATATTTTCTTCCTTTTTTTCCCCCCCTCTCTTCTTTCTTTTTCTTTTTTCTTCTTTCTTTTTTTTTTTTTTTTAACCTCTGTCATAATGTAGGTACACGAATTATGTGACAATTTCTGCCACCGGTATATTAGCTGTTTGAAAGGAAAAATGCCTATCGATTTGGTCATAGACGATAGAGAGGGCGGATCAAAATCGGACAGTGAAGACATAACAAGATCAGCAAATCTAACGGATCAGGTATGATCTCGCCAACGTCGCACAACGCTAAAATTTGTATGCAGATCGCTTGCTGGGTCACTACGCCTTCTTTTATTATTTGCATATGATTAAGTCCCTTTTAGATAAATTTCCATCGAAATGAAAATTTTTGAATAATGTGGCTATTATTGCTTCATTAAGGCTTGCTCCCAGATTCGACCTGGCGAGATGAGCTTGTAAAAGCATCGCCTGCAAACTCGACCTGTTTCTTGTCGCTTTTAATTTTTGTCTTTATTTTATTTACCCTTTCCAATAATAGAAGTGGTATCTGTGAATCACTGGCTTCTTGGTAGCTTAGGGAAGGAAGGGCTGGAGTCGTTGACCAAAATAATAATAAAATCCGAGATAGGTGGTCCAGAGAAGACAGAGAGGGTTTGAAATCTAGCAAATACTGGCTATTTTCTTCCCGTCTCTACGGTTCATTAGTCCGTCTTGTCAGTTTTCCTTGGCCGAACGCTTTTAGACTTGAGTGAACATTGCTTTGTGCACGCCTGCCTGCTGCAAACGCGCCCATTTTATTTTACTTAATAGGGAAAAAAAAAAGGAGAAAATAAAATGGGATTCAGGTTTTAAATTCTTTTCCTTGATCTTTTAAGTTTTCAAGCCCTCTCTTTAAAAAATAAATATAGTCAAAGCCAAGCCAGCAAAGCCTCGCGTGGCTGTGACGGTTGTCCAGGTTTTGTTTGGGATGGTTCAGACCTTTAATGTCGGCTGCAGCGGGGTGGGAAATGCGGGTGAGCTGAGTGGGGAGAGCTGGCTATCCCCTCTCCCATCCCTTCTCCTTCCACTGGGTGCAGACTGGGGTCCTTGCCTTTTCATGGGAGCACTTGGGGCTAATGCAGAAAGTGCCCAGATCTCAATTAAGCTCCTGGATGATGGTAGTGACTGAGATTTGGCTTTTACTTGAGTTGGGTGAAACGGTGGGGTTTTCGCGGTCTGTTTGTTTGCTCTGAACCGAGGGGTAGCAGCGCTTTGCCTGTGAGAGAGGGGACCTCAAGCACACGCGTGAAAAAGAAATCCCTGGTGAAACCCCTCAAGTTATTTCTTCTTTTTGATCAGCTACGTAAATATAGTGTTAGGAGTGATCTGCTCCTGACTCTGGAGGTTTCCTTTTGTTCAAGCAAGGCGCAGCCAAGCAGACAGGAGTTTCCTCAGCTGCTTTGCTGTTATCACTGGCACTGTCAGCTGGGAGTTATTTTATAGATTACCGACATAAAGGTGTGTTGCATTGCAGTGTGGGCAGTATCTGAAATATTTTCTCCTATCTGCCAAAGGCTGTCGGTTTGTGACAGGGGAGGCAGGCTTGAAGGAAGGCATGAACTTTTAGAAAGGGGTTTATGTGCACATAGGTAGGTTGTTTTGAAGGGTTTTTTTTGATTTTGCTGTACAGGGGAAAAGCTTGGCAGAGTGGGTGGAGGGTGGTGTGGCAGGGAGGTACCCGGGGCTGGTGAGGATGCTCCTTGGGAATCGCCAGCCCCACGCAGTGCCTTAGAGCGAGGGGAGCCCTCCAGCCAGGGTCTAGCTGAGGGAAGCTCGGCTCGCTGATGTTGAATAAAAATTGTAATCCAACAAGTCTAACTAGAAAATGGGTTTCTAAAAGCTCTGGAGTGCTGGGTACATAAAGCTATTTGAGCAAATTACAAGAATTGCTCAGGGGCACGAATGAAATCAACACTTTAATTGCCTCCAAAATGAAGATTTATACCCCATTTTCCCAACGAATCATTATTTTATTAAAGTGAAAGCTAAAGAAATAGAGCTGCAGTTTTGGGGTTGTTGGGGGGTCGGTGTGTTTCTCCACCACCCCGCGCCCCCCTTTTTGTTGCCCGGAGCGCGGACGCTGCGCCGTGCCCTCTCCCGCTGCGCGGGCCGGCCGCGGGGCCCGGCCCCGGCACGCCCGGCTTGTGCGAGCGCTGCCCCGGGGCGCTGCGGGCAGCGGGGCGCGCAGCCCCCACCTACCCCTCCGCGCCCGCGGAGCTGCGCGGGGAGCGGGGCTTTGCTTCCCACCTTGAAGGGGAGAGGTGCAAAAGTGCGCTTTTCCCCTCTCCCCTTCCCCGGGCGATGGGGCGGCGGATGAAGCCCGCGGAGATCGGGCGGGCGGCGGGGGGGTTTACCCGGGGATGCGCAGTCCCCCGCGCCCTCCGGTAAACTCCGGTGCCAAAGCCGGCCCCGGCGCGGCCGGCAGTATCGGGGCCCTAATGGTTCAATAATAAGGTGTTGAGTGCTGGTCGCCGGGGCGGCTAATTAGGATGTGACTGCGCAGGGCGCGTTTATGGCTGCGCGGCCGTGGGATGCGCGGGCGCGCAGGGCCGGGCGGTGGGAGCGAGGGGCTGGCTCCGGGCGTGGGGCCCCCCGCCTGCCCACGGCTCTGCTTGGAGAGTAGTAAAAGAGTAAGTATGTAAAAGCTTTTATTATGGATTTAATTACATTTTCTTATATTGTGGTAGTAAAGGTTACAGTTAACAGGGTGTTTTTTTATTTTAATTTATTGGTTTCCCCTTATTTATTCTTTCCCCAAAGGCCCCTCAAAGGCAGTGCCTTTAAGTCCCCCCGGTTAATAGAAAGCAATGACACTAATGCTAGATTTTGCAAAGTAAAGCCCTATAACACTAACCATTGTTCAGTGATTTAACCAGCTCAGTGGCACTAGGTCACTAAAATAGCATCCTTCTCCCACGGGCTCGACCCCACTGCCTGCCAGGGTGAGACCTGCAGAGTTGGTGTTTACCGTCACAGCTCCACAAGTACGGGGCAGGAGTCCGGGCTTTTTGCTGGGGAGAGTTGAACTCAAAATAATCCAGACCCCGGGACTTAAAAAAACCTAGCTGAAGAATTGAAGTCATCCTCAAAAGTTTCAAAATAAACCTTTTTTAATCATTAGCTTTTCAAACATTTGCATGTTTAAATTTTCAGTGTTTGTCAGAGCCCAAAAAGATTTAGAACACAGCTGTTGTGTGATGTGTCTGGGAAAACTCCCTCTGATTAAAAAAAAAAAAAAGCCCAAAGACTGCCTGTAGTCTGACAAGAGAAATTCAGTTTCGTAGGTAATCCTGAACTATTACTGTGGGGCTGCTTTTTTGAAGCCACATCACCTTGGCACCCAGGTGCTCTAGTCCAAACTGTAAAATTCTCCTACAAGAGTGTGTCTACAAGAAAACCTTTAGAAAGTTCTTTAAGGAAAACATGGTGCAAAGTACCCACCACATTCAAGTAAAATGCGTTAGCTGTGTAAGATAGATTTTATAGGGACAAAACAGTATTGTTCTTACTGAAAATAAACTTGTTGAGCCTGTCCACAGTAGCATTGCTTGACAAAAATTGCGATTTAATAATGCACAAGCCAATTACAGATGCAGAAACTTTTAAAGGCAAATCGGCGAAGAGCCAAATTCCTATAGGAACTATGAGGGAAATGATCAAAAAATGAACATGAAATAAGACTTCCTGCAAGAAGGTCCATAATTCAACATTATTTGACTCCACTGTCAGGGAAATTGTTGAAGGATAGTAAACCGATACTGGAGCCTCAGTCATTTTTGTTACAGTCTTAAATGTTTGCAACTGTGACGTTTTAGATGGCCCTTCTTGGGTGATAATATATCACATATATACACAGGTATATAATAAAGCAACACCTCTATTTATGTTGCAATAGATTTTATTTTAATGTGTGCAGTTGTGGAGTTGCTCTAACAAAAATGCAGATAGACAGCAGCTTTTTTTTTTTTTTAATGGAACAATTACTTAAAATATGTTCTTTACAAAGAAAGAATCATAAACTGGAATCCAATATAAAACATAGCTGAAAGTGGTAGAGTTGTTCAGGGCATCGACCGGTTACGACTAGACTTAACTTTCCAAATTCTGAAATATATTAGCTATACCTTGTAGCCAATTCAACAATAGTGCCTTAGGGAAAAAATTACTGAGAAATACTATTTTACTTTGGGACTTCTTCACAGGTACTTTCAAACCATATATGGTTTTAAAGAGGAGAGCTAAAAATATTGCTGCCTTTAGGATATGTGCTCCCATATTGGAGGAACAGGCATCAAAATAATAGATGTGGTGCAGAGGGTGCAAGGTAGAATTCATTTCTGCATAATAAAAGAGTTACAGCAAAGTACGACTCTGAGGTTGACCAATAAAATAATGCTTAAAAGACTCAAAATTTAATTTTCTTCCTCTGACTTTGTCACTTTGAGCCAGTGAATCCTTTTTTGTTTGTTTTTGAGTAATATTTATTATTTTTCGCTGTGATATTTAGAAGCTGTTACCATGTCCCAGTTTGGCAGGCTATTTATGTGAAGATAGCGTACGTTAATTTCTGTTCCAGACATGTTTTCATCTGATACACTGTGGCTGAAATTGTAATAGCAAAATAAGATTTTCTTTGCTCTCCATTTCTTTAAGTGAGTAAATACATTGTTGTGTAGACATAAGATTGAATATATATTCTTTAGTTTATGATTTCAGTTCATGAATCCTTGGGGTTCTTTTTTATTTTTTAATCATTCAAGATCCCAAAAGGGGCCATCCTTACAGCTGGGTGCTTTCCTGAAGTTGCATGCTCAGGCATAATTTCCATGTCAAGTTTTCCATACTGAAGTTAGCTCTTGTTGTAAAGGATAGTTTAATTCCTGGATTTTTGGGGGAATTCTTTTAACATCAGGCCTGACAGAGCTGAGTTTAAACCCCAGTTAACCTCAGAATTGTTCCTAAACATATGCAAGCGTAACCCAAGGCATTCCTGTAAGCCAGAGCTTGCTGTGTCTGCGTTAGGGACCGTAGATTGTTATTTTGGGGCAACTTGGAGACTTGAAAGTTATGAAAAAATGAGTTTTACCTTAAGTTTAACCTTTATGGCTGAGGGTTTGAGTTTTTCTATGGCTGCTGGTCCGCAGGTAGCAATAAAGGTAATGGGCTCTGCATGCAGAGGGTTACTGCAGCCCCGCATGGGCAATGTTAGACCTTAAAAA